TATTCATTATATATATTATATATATATATAAATAATGTCTTAGCCATGTTAGGTTTTAGACTTAATGATAGGTAATGAAGACAAATAAGCAATTACACAGAGGAAGGTCTGTCATTTGTTTTAGGAATTCTTTCAGAAGAGAATGAGAAATAAGATATCAAATCACTATAGACAAATACTGTCAATCTCTTTCTTTGTCCCCTTTAAGATAATTTTCTCACAACAGTTAATGAATAAAGGGCATGGATTCATATCTGCTATTAAGATAATACTAACAGAAATGGATGATTATCTGTTGATGATAAAGCATACAGGATCTCCAACTGGACTGGTGTGAAGTATACTGACGTTGGGTAAATTCGTTTTACAAGCTGTGGTGATGTATAGTGATTGAATGTATAAAATAAATTAAATTTAAAACAGACAATACTATCATCTTCTTTGGTAAAAATAACAGATCCTATTGTTCCTGTTTTAACAATAAGTAAACTAAAACTAAAAATTAGGTATTTTACTCATCATTACTAGTTTTATCTCACTTGTGTCCCCAAGAGTTTGGTGGACATAATATCAAACAAAAAAGTAACAATTAGCCAGGACGGTTACTGGTCATAGTTTTGATTACTTCATGACAACTCTTACATAATGGAAATTATTATTTCATGTAAAGTTTTAGTCAGAAATCAGGTTTTAAAATTATGTATAAGCACCAAAATTATGAAAGCAATATATAAGGAAAGGAACAGGAGAATAGGGAAAAAAAAAAACCTTACAAAATAGATTGAGCCCTTTTAAGAGTCACTTTTTTCTGTCATTCTAACTTTGTAAATTTTTGCATTATTTTATTTATTGATTGATTGATTGATGAGAGGGTTGTTTTGTTTTGTTTTGCTTTGTTTTTCCCTATAATGTGTATCCACTTGCCAGAGAGAAAGCAAGGAATCACACCCTAGAGAGATGGCCACACCACAATCTCTTCTCCATTTTCCTCTCAGGATATTGGGCATGCATGCACACACACCCAGCATGAGTTTCAAGCCCCCAAGTCCAGGACTTGAACCACATTCTATCATGTGAGAGTCCAGCACCTTAGCCACTACACCATGTAAAGAGACAGGGATGGGTGTGGAGGGGGCGAGAAAGAATCCCTCAGTGAGGTGACCACACCTCAATCCATTCTTCTCCATTCTCTTCTCAGGATTTTCGGCATGCACACACACATGACAAGGCTGCCGGGTCTGGTACACAACCATGCAAGCAACCATGTGGGGTTCAACCACCTGAACCACCACTGGCTGACACAAGTCGATTAATTTTTGACGGAGGTGCCAAGAGCACACAATGGGAAAAGAACAGTTTCTTCAATAGATTGTGTTGGCGCAAGTGTTTATCCACGTGCAGAAATTTAGTATTGGACACTTAGCTCACACTATATATAAAAATCAACTCAAAATGAATGAAAGACTTAAACATAAGACCTCAATTCATTAAACTACCAAAAGAAAATGGGAAAAAACATCTCATGCCTTTGGTCTGGACAATGACTTTTTTTGAATATGACTAGAAGCACAGGTAACAAATACAAAACTAGATACACAGAATTATATAAAACTGAAAAGCCTCTGCACATCCAGAAAAAAATAATTAACAGAGTAAAGAGACAACCCATGGATCAGGAGAAAAATATTTTCAAACCATACATATGATAAGAGGTTAATATCTAAAATTGTTAAAGGACTTGAACAATTCAATAGTAATAAAACAAATAATTCAATTTAAAAAAAATCAAAAAAATCTACATAGACATTTTTCAAAAGACAGGCATATTAAAGAAATGCTCAAAATCACTAATATCAGAGAAATGAAAATTGGAAATACAATGAGTTATCACCTCACACCTATCAGAATGGTTATTTTCGAAAAGTGTTGAATATGTGGCGGAAATGAAATATGTACACCCTGTGGGTGGAAATTATAATAGTACCACCATTATGATAAACAGTGTGGGGTGCCACAGAAAATTAAAAACAGAACTACCATATGGTTCAACAATCTCACTACTGAATGCATATCCAAAAGAAATGGAATCATTATGCATCAAGGAGAGATCTGCACTTTGTGTTCACTGCAGCATTATTCCCATTCTGTATCCCAAGATACGGAATGAATGGGAAAAAAAAAAAAGTGACCAGTACCAGTAGTTGGTGTAATGGCTATGTCACTGGTCTCCCATGTTGTTGACTGCAGCTTGAGTCCTGGACCTGGTGGCTTAAACTCATGCTGGGTGCGTGGACGTGTGCATGTGCATGTTCGCCCAAGATCCCGAGAAGAAAATGGAGGAGAAGGAACTGCGGCATGGCCATCCTTCCTGGGGGGTGATTTCTCACTTTCTGTCTCTCTCTGTCTTTCTGGCAAGTGCAAGCACCCTATAGTAAAAGAAAAAA